ACCACTTTCATAAATGGCTGCCGGATTGATATTCTGTTGTTTAAATTCACTAGCCTCGCTAGCCTCGTTTAAGATAATGCATTCTTTTGAATTTTGAACTGGAGAACGAGGCCAGAAAGGCTAATTTAAATTTAATCAAAAGAATATCAATCCGGCAGCCATTTATGAAAGTGGTCAATTTATGCTCTGGAAAATTTTAATACAGTAATTGCTCTCTCTTGTTGACAGATAATCTTGCCTTCACCGAAAGATTGCTTCAGGCAATGGAATGGGCCTTAAAAAGTCACAAGTTCGATTTCTTTCTGCGCATAGATGACGACCATTTTCTCTGCCTGGATCGCCTTCTGTATGAATTGAATTTCCGTCCCAAGGAAGCATTGTATTGGGGCTTTGTGCATTGTAAACCAAAAATAGTCCGCGTGGATGAAGCATGGCTTCTTCTCACGTACGACTTGATCCAAGAGGTTCTTGATAAGAGAAACAGTACTCTTCTTTGCTCGCCCTACGGCGATCAGGCCGCAGCGCTATGGATGATGGAGAGCAAGAAGAACGTTACTTATTTCATGGATAATCAAAGAATTGTGCACAAAAGCGCCGGAAAAGATCAGAGATTTTTACTCGATAAGAACGTCTGCCAAAAGTACTTGAGTCTTCATGGCTCGTATCCTAGATCTATGAGACAATTGTGGCTGTCTTCTTTTGTATTGCGCAAGAAAGCCTCATTATCTGCGCCGTATAATATCACTGAAATAGAACCGTTTGCAAAGTTGTGCCGCCATCCCCCTGTTTTTGACTATAAAGGGTTCTTCCCTGAGTATAGGTTCGAGCCCAAGCCGTGCTCGGAAAACCCCAAGTGGTCTATTTCCAGGAAACCTCATGTGGGCCGAGAAGAAGCTGGTGAAAGATACTCAAAGTATAAAAAATGATAAAGTTCCTTTTTTCGAATTCTTCGAAAATCCACATCGGACCGCTGTAGGGGATGAAACGGTAGTGACGAATCTTAAACACGAAGGCGCGCTATATAAGGAAGTCTTCCCTGGGAAGACCTAGGCTCATTTTTCACTCACCGTTGACGTGTGCGGGTCAAATTTAAATGGTGGTAGACGAACAAAAGGAGCTAATGAGATATCTATTGTTTACTTCCACCAGCATGGTGGCATGAGGTAACGTGCGAACCAACTACTTCGATCTCAAATTTACCGCCACAAATAAAGACAGTTTCCATTGGAGAAAGGAAATACAAATCTCAAAAATTCTTGTATTGTGATGAAGACATAAAACAATTTTGAGGAATGCACCTGCTGTTCACTGCTTTGGAGTAGCTATACATCTAGCTCAAGCTGACTTGACTCTGAGAGTTCTACATCACACAACGGTTGATTGACAAATGGTCCATTGGGACCTATGGCTCCTTTTATAGCGCACCTTCGTGTTTTAGGTTGACTGATGAAGTAGGACAAAAATTGCCCTAACATCAAAATTCAGTAACTGAGCATAAAAAAGATTGTGCTGTACCTCATCAGGATTGAAGTTGCTCCTTGGATTAGAAATATTACTCACAGGACAACCAGAGTTCACCAACTCATCTTCCAAATCACAGCGGGATTTCCCAAAATTCTAAAAAGAAAAATTTAGTGTTAAATAATGCTTGCTTAAAGAAGCATTGTTATTTTTTTTAATTTGTGTCCAAGGTTAGAAATTTTACACTAAAAGTTAAACTCTCATATACCCAAGCACTTGACCAACATATGCCTGGTTGGATGATACACTTTGTTTTTCTCATTATATACAACTGCAATAAGCAACATTTGATCTATTGGAAGACAGATGCATAGAGATGTCACAAACCATGCTTCCCTACCATGTTGCCATACGCCTGTTCAGAAACAGATCACAGAAGTGACACACTCATATGCCACTCCTCGTTAATCCTTGTACACTCTTTTTCTCCATGCATTTCAATCTAATCTAAGGTCTATCATTAAACAGATGCCTGACAACATTCTAATGAGTGAATTGACTATATCAATTAACAATTAGCTGTTCCGATTCCTGCTTTGAAAACAAACATCCAAAAACAAGTTGTAGGAAAGCTAAATCTCCTCTTGAACATAATCCTTGACAAGGTACATTTTCTGTGGACAGAGTTACCTCTTGAGAGCACCAGGCACACTTGGCCACCCCTATACACTCTCGACAAGTTGTTCTGCTTCTACAATTATCTGCACCTACATTAAAATATAGATGAGTTGTTGGAGAGGACCATCTCTGGTTTCCAAAATAAGTTAGCCATTCTTACATTCAATCACCAAAACAAAAACACCAGCTACTGTAAGGTGATCATAGATTAAATAGGGTTTGAGAATGGTTATTGAGTATTATAATAAAAAAGACTGACTAAAGGGCTGTTTGATGTTTTGGTAAAGCAAAAGACCCTTGATTGTGTCCACAGAAAGCAGCTTCTGTTTGTTGTCATTTAATGTGAGAAAACCTTTTCTGAATCAACAAATTTGACACAATTAGACAAAGTGATTTTAAACCAACCTACACAGAAAGGAAAGAAGAGTTCTCATGGTGGTCCCATGTGTTTCAAATGAATGTTTTTAATTTTACTTCTCTCATTTGGTAACAAACCTCTTAGGGTATGTGTCAAGCGTTTAAGATCAGATAAAATTTTATCTCTGATTAGTTACGATCATATCAGTGCAAGTCACTGATCAAGTAAACTGTTCTGAAGGGAGAAACTAAGCTGAAGGCTTCTAGCCAGATTGTATTTAATATAACTGTAGATTTAAATAAAAAAAAAAAACACCACAGGTAGTTTCACAAATAACGCAAGTTTTCTGTCGCCTCTATTCTTTCAAAGAAATGTATGTCTATACCACAAATATGCTTCCAAAACAAAATACCAAATCTTTAGCTACAAAGAAATCGGACTTACCTTGACTACATACATGACCAACTATGATTGTAAATAAGACGAAATATAAAATAAATCGAGATCTTTCTTCCATTTCAGTTCCTGTGGGTAAAGAGAAACGAAACAGTGAGAATGCTAAAAGATGTATTAGCTAAGCTCTCATTCAGACCAATGATTTCTTATATCCATTTGTGATACAGGTATTGGAATGACTAAAACTTACTTCTAAAATCAATGTTGAATGTCTATGTATGGGGCCGAAAGTGAACAAACAAACCCTTATAAGCCTCTCTCTGAAAATTTATCGAGCAACAAAAACTTTCAGTTTTTGATACTTACAAATGGCACTTATCCTGTCCTTAATGTCGCTTCAAACGATACTACGAAAACCAACCAAAAGCTCAATAATTGTTCAAAATCCTTCAAAACTTATAGTTCTTCCACCAAGGAAGTGGGCATTACATTTCTTTACTCCAAATATGGGTATCATGGCCATATTAATCTGAAGGCGACGCCAACTTCCTGTTTGGTGGGGTCAATGACGTATTTCCGGTAAATTTACAATTGCTGTTGTTCCGAGTCAAATACGGGTGCACGTTTGTTTCCACACGGGAAAAATGTGGGTCTGAACAGGAGTGTATCAAAACAGATATGTAACGATAATTGAGCTATTTTTAACGTCAGAAGAAAATATAATGCAATATAATACTTTGCCATGGTACATGAGGAATAAACCAAAAAGGTGCAAAAAAACTACAAAAATATGGCGTAAAATCTACGCATGGTTAGTAGAGGAAGCTCCCTCTACTAACTATGATCTACGTGTCCCAAATGATTATAGGACTACGCACACGTAATAGTATTTCACAGAAAGGCTGAGGATTTTTTTGACGTAGTCTCGTTTTCTCTCCTATTCCCCGTCTGATGTTTCAATGACCGTTTGAAGAGCAAGGTTAAGAGTTTGTAGTGTGGGTGTGAGCTCACCATGTAATGGCTTGTTTATTTTTTTTTCTTCTCTTTTTTCTTGAAGGGGTTACAAAGTTTTATAACTGCACTCGATAAATCTTGGAGGAGTTGTGAACTTGAAGTCCCTTACCGTTTATAATTCTCGAAATGTTGGGAGAGGAAGGAAGTCGATCCGTGCACTGTTCGTCCCCACTCAATATTTTTGCACTTCTGTTCTACAAAAAGTCCATTGTCGCGTTGACAGTGTCGTAGACGCGTGGCGTTAGGCACTGGAGTCAACTACAGTGAAGCACTAGGCGGTCAGCAAGATCGAACTACAGTGAAGTGAACTACAGTGATCGAACTACAGTGAAGCACTAGGCGGTCAGCAAGATTCAATGTTTATTAAAATCAGGCTAATCCGACTATTTACAGCACTTGCAGTGAAAACTAAAAAGAAACGTGTGATTTTTACGTCAGAGGGAACGAAAACTATGCTTATGCTCCGTGCACAAAGAGGAGAAACGAACTGCGAAAATTACAGGCGTGGCTTACGTCTGATCTTGACTCCGGGGCTAGAAGGACTCCAACTCCTACAGTTGTAATAACTCTGAAAGTACACCGAAAGATCTCTACAGTGCGATGGACTCCTAACAACTGAGTAACCGTTCTTAGGAAAGGACTAATCTAGTGCATGCCTTCTGACGTGACGGAAATAAACTGAATGAAGCTTTGTAAGCCTAGTCTGACGGATATGCAATAAGCATGCAGTAAAATAAACAACGCTGTGTTCACGAAGAAAAAATAGTACTTGAACGTAACTAATTAAAAAGTCTATTTACGGATGACCTTACATCCATCCACAGTATTTGTTTACGTTTTCAATTTAAAATTTCCTTAATTAACAACCTGATTTTATCTCAAACACATTGGTTTAGTGAATTCTGAGTTGAAACCTAACTTTGCAGAAATAGAGAGATTTGAAATGGCTATAATTCAGTAAAATTGAATAGGAAGCTACCCTGCATAAGATTAAGATTTCTGTTTCCTTTTGGCCGGGCGGGTTAGGTGTCCGTGTGTTCTCTTTGATAAAAGGTAGAAACGCAACCCCGACGAAAAAATGTCCGAAATGATTTGGATTCTTTTACATTTTCGTTTCTGTGGTACTCAGTCTTAAACCATTTTGCACCCGTTATAAAATTTTCAGCCAATCAGTATTCTGGGTTAGCGACTGACATGCAAGCGCGCTCTAACGTCATAAAGGAGTTGTAGGACTTCAAGGCAAGATTTGCAAAGAAACTCCAAGAGTTATTTTGACCGTGAGGTTCATGATTTGGGTTGAATCTATTTGTTACCTCTTTATAAATTCTTAAACTTCAAAATGGGATGAGCATTTAGCAGCGATAATCGCCGAGTTCCAAGAGTGTTCAGAATAAAAAAGGTGGGTATCTTTCTTAAGCGGGTACATTTACTAACGTTTGGATAATTTCAAGTATAGACAAAAAGATAAATGGACCGACAGAAACTTTTTGCACCTGTAAAAACTTATAGTCCCTGTTCAGAATGTGCAGTAACTTGTAATTTGCAAAACAATTTGACTGATAGATTTTAATGTTTTCTCGTTACCGGGACTCTATTTGTGTAAAACACCTTTAACTTGGACTGTTTCCTATTTCATTATCCAGACCGCCAAGTACAAAAAGTACGTGGTGTCGTCTCTGGAAGATGTTCGTAGCAATGTGAACAAGCACTATACCACTAGCAGCAGCATTGCTACACCCAGGGTGTGGTCAGATACACCAAAAAATTTACACAGCAGGATGGTGCACTGCTGATGTGGCGCTCAGCAGCACTTTAATATGACTGATGGGTACTAAGGATCTTCTTTAGGACAGTATTCCTGAACTAGGTGCGTTTTCTGCGATTTCAATTTCATTGTCGAAAGTAATCGGAACTGCACTGGTTTTGTTTTGCTTCGCTCTGTAATCGGTCAAGAAAAATGGTGAAATTTCGAATGTCATCGGTTAGCTAATGTTTTTTTTTTCCGTTAGTACCAGTTACCTACAACAAGCAAGTGGAAAAGATCGAGGAGGTTGTAGGAAAGGTTGGTAAAGATATCAGAGGAGATAAATCTGATGTAATAGGAGGAAAATAAAGAAGAAAATGCTACAATTCTGGAGGAAGAACTTCCATATTGTCTTCATTACGAAAGGATGTCAAAACATTTTAAAGGGACCTCTTAAAGTAGCGGACAACCTTTACTAAAGAGTATTAATAGAAAAAGCAAGGGTTCTTGAGGAGTCTGCCAAGTAAAAGTTTTGCTCTGTTTTTCTTTTTGCGTGTGTACCTGAGCGGCGATGTATCGAACTTAGACACACGGAAAATATTTTCAATATCTTTTTGCTTTTTCGCAGGCCTTTATGAGGAAAGTTTTCAATGGCTCACATTGTACAGCTCCTTACTGAATGAGACTATTGGCGACATGAGCCTCAAGTAAGTGTTGGTGATTCAAAGGTACTATGATATTAAGAAAAATGATCATTTTAATGGGAAAGTAGGAAACTGTGGGGAAGGGAAAGGGGGTGGGAAAATGTTCAAAGGTATATCGCATCTGCCATAAATCCATTGGTTCTAAAGATGACTTTAGGTTCGAGAATAATATACCCGTCACTTAGCCATCGCAAGGAGGCGAGCTGTATTTTAAAACTGGATAAAAGATCTGATTCAGAGATACATTTTCATCAGTGGGGTTAATTCCAAACAAGTTGTTGAGGACTTGCCTCATATCACAGTATCTAGCCCAAAGTGTTTTTCTTTTGGAACTATTTCCAGTTAGACCATGGTGAGGATCATTTTTTTTTTTGTTTCTCTCCCTGTTATTGATACAGTTGTATCCCTGATGCTATTGTCACAGTGCTTAAAGGTTCAATGGAGCATTTCATTATTGAGTACAAGAATTCAGACAACAAACAGCCCGACGTACTCAGTTATCCGAATGGAGCGGAGAAATCCTTGACAGGATTTGCAGTCGGTGAGTTTCGAGACAGTTCTTTTTTTTGTTACAATGATGTTTCCTAAATTTTGTAAGAATCGAGTTCTGTTTAAGATTATACGTAAATGGAACTTTTCCGAAAATTGCAAAACTTTTTTTGAGAACTGCCAGTTCTGTTATTGGTGATAAGTGGCGACATTTCCACTATAGACCCACGACAGAAAAATGCCAAATTAAAATATATCAATCGCTCGCTGTTCTTTCATCTTACCAAACAATTTCTAAGAATAACATCACTAAATGCCGTTTGTTTGTTTTGTTTTTTGATAGCTTTGAGAATCAAGTTCTCCGTATTGTTCTGTGTAAGCCTTCATGGTTCGCCCAGACGCCAGTGAAGGATGAGAGCGACAAATTCTTTAGGTAAGCAAAAGTCGATTTCAGTTTTTAGTAATATTACAGCCCTTGGGGCCATTTGTTAATCGCTAAGTTTGAAACTAAGAATCCATTTGCGGTGATGAGAATGATTCAAAAGCATTACAAGTGATCTCTTTTTAATGGAACTATGTGGCAAAGATTTTTATTCTTGAATTTTTGTCACAGTGAGCGAGTCACAGAGAAGTTAAAGTTCGCAAGTGATGCCACAGAGTTTACCAAATTAACAGGTAAACAAATGACGAAGTTAATATAATTCAAATAATAAGATATATTGCACGGCGAATTAGCACCATACCCTTAATTCATCACCAATGGAAAAAAAAAAACACTGATTTAAGTAACAATCAATAGGAGGATATTGAGGGGGGGACCTAAGGGAGCTAGGAAAAAGGGCGCTGGGTAGGCATGACTAATCATCTGCCATCTTGGATTTTTATCTCAGAAGAAAGTTGGGAATGTAACTTATGAATTCCTGGATCACTTTTAATAAAAGCTTTCCATTCAAACCTGATTAAGAATTGAAATGTTACAGTTAAAAGTTTAGAGGCCAAAATTTTAAATAATTGGACAAGAGGTAGTATTACACCTTTTGCTGATCATTTAGGCGAAAAAGATATTCATTTTCGCGAAGTGTAGAATCATTAAGGCGAATATACATTCTATAACACCAAGAAGCACTTCATTAACGCCACGGAACATTCAAGAGCGCAATTTGCATGTTTATAAACGATCAATAGTGTCAACGAACAAACAAGAGCATCTATCGACAATCAAGGACGCCAAGTGGACATTTAAACGC